CCTCACCGCTACGGGCGCTCGTCGGCTGTTCGAGGAGCTCCCCCAAATCCGGGAGGTATACCACGACCCTGGCGCGGCGCACCTGACGTCAGCTGGCAGTGCACCTGATCTCACCTTCATCGAGTTGTCAACGAACAACATCATTCAATGGCTGTAAAATGCTGCGGCGTGGTAGTAGGTATGTCACGGCAGGAATCTAACACAGTATATATGATGCATTTGTGCAATATTCACCTCGAGTATTGAAGGCTTGAAGGGAGAAATATGGAAGCAAGAATCGCCGGGTCTTTCCAAACGGGAGGGACAGCGCAGAAATGTATTGAAACGATGTGAGTTAGAGCAGCTTTTTGCTGATGATTTCAAGCGTGAATTCAATTTTTTTAGATTTCCTTTTGAAAAAACTTAGTTTAGAAATTAAATATTTTGTAAAATTTTATGATTATTTTAGGAAATGGTTAAGAAATGGAAGAAAAAATCACGTGAAAAAAATGAGAAATTGAATGGTAAATAATTACACAAATGTTTACTTTAGTATAAATGAGTCCCACAAATATGCATCATATTTCTAAGTACCACTAATATAAAAAAAATCTGCAATTATAGTATGACAATTGATAATAAATGTGTTTTTTTAAATAGCCTCAAATGACAATTAGCAAAAATATTGGAAAAACAAGGTTGATGGAGGATAATCAACAGGGCAGTTGAACTATTAGTATTTTTCAATATACGGCATCTATGTCTATTTTCTTTCTTATTTAAAAGAATCTCAAAACACTGAACTTCGAACTTCAAAGTGGAAGAATTTTTTCATTCAATGAGATGTTCAAGAGTTTTTTTTCAAATACCGATATGATATTACTTAGATCCATGTTTAACATTCGTTATTCAAATTTGAATGCCTAGTAAAGAACTTGTTAGTGTGCACAATCTTTGAACCAACATTTGCTGCCAAGTTTCTTCTAATGGTTTATACTAGAGATAAAATACTAGAAGTATGTATTATAAATGTATGAATAAAGTAAATTAATTGTCTGAAAGGCTTACAAAAGCCCCAACAATGTCTGCATGGTATAAGTGACTTAATGAAGCGGAAGGAATCAATACAATAGTAAAAATAAATTCCTGAAGTTCTTTTTCCATCAAAAATTTCAGTCTATTTATTTCTAAAAATTGTGTTCTACTTCTCAGGTTTTTTGTGCGGTTGATGGATCACCAATTCCCAGCCAAGATAATTTGAGGCCTGACCTGCTCCTCAAGACATTATCACTGGCGGCCATGCGGTGATATGCAGAGAAAATGTCGAGGAAATACTTTGCAAAATCATTTTATTCATACGGATTATTGCATCTTGTCAGGTCTATTGTGTTTTGCGTCTTTTATAATATAATAATAGCACAATAGTTATTTTTATTTACGGACGAGGATATGGTTGATACAACATTATAATGTCATCGAAAATTCTCATTGTAACTTGAGACAAATTTCAACAGTGATAACATTTTATCCTGTTTAAGTGATACACCCTGGGGCCACCTGCCCATTCGATTGAGACTTCACGAATGATTAAATTAAATTAATGAAAGAAATAAATATTCACTTTTAAATTCAATTATTGAACACACCGCATGTTTTCCTATTCTATTAACCATGTCAGCGTTAGGCCTCCAAATCGCGCCGCATCAAGGGTTTGTGAAGTGAAGAGTTTGTTGTTATTGACTTGAAGCGCCAGTCGCGTCGTGCCCTCGAAATCTTCGTATCCTTGCTACCAAAATACACGTTTGACTTCCACGTCAGGTTGGCCAAAACTGATTTTGGAGCAATCGTGCGTTAGAATATATTTGAAATTTTCTGGAATTACAAATTGTTAATATTTGCAGTATATCAATATCTCTACTAAAATTATAATTATATACACAGACTGACACTAGTTGAATGAGTAAGCCATAGCTGAAGCCAGATTGTTGTATGAACTACGCGGCAGCATCTTTACTCATTCGATTTAGAAAAAAGGAATTCAATGAGGACAGAATGTTGTAAAAAATATATTGATTAAGATACCAATATCTCTGGCAACGTAAGCGGAACCTGAAGACATGAATAACACAGAAAATCGAGTTTGGTCAATGGAATTAAAAAGAAAGTTAAACTGTTTTACGCAAAGCTTTCACAAACGAAGAATTTAGAAAACTTTGCTTGGTAGCTATGATATTGAATGAAATAATAATTTCGATAAACGCAATTTTGGTTCCTATCTATTTGCAAATTTTTAGGGAAAACGTATGATTATTTCTTAGGAGTAAAATAAATTTTATAACTGTAAACCCCGAAGGAATTGGGAAACATGACAGATTTTTATCGCCTAACAATCTTCTTTCCTCATAAAGTCGCCCTCGTATCAAATCTGAAATTTTTACTATTGTATGTTTGAATGACTTTGCAATTCATTCGAAGCCTTACATTGTAACTAGCTTATATGAATGGTATACCACTACCTTAATAAACATTTTTCAGCTCCTACACCATTTCTTTCATTTAGATAGAACCTGAGAACATTTTCCTTCTAGTAATAGGATTTTTTCACCAATCTTGAGCAGGTTAAATCACTTTAGTTAGGAAGTTAAACAAGCTTTAAGTGCAAATTTTAGGTATTGCGTAGAGCCAAAGCAAAAAATGTGAGCAAAACGGGTTACCCTGCAGGAGAGAACTAGAGCGAGAATGAGTCCGTGATCCTTAGCGCGTGGCAACGTAAATAAGTAATTAAAGAAAAAATAAATGATATTTCATTCAAAGAAAACAGGATATTTAACAATTTGGGATAAAGTTATCTAACACTCTCATCATTACGTTTACTCTCGCATGCCGGATTATATTACTATAATTAGGCAAAATCCGTTCAGCTTACAGCACCCAGAATGCGGCGCAGTTTCGTCCAGCCAATCTTCATCTTTTTCGTCGGATGGAAGTTTGAAATTTACACACATTAATTAAAGGTTTACACTATCACTTCTCACAATAACGTGAATGATGGATCACAACATGAGTGTTGACCTCTTCTTCAGCTGCCCCCTTCATCCTGATGGCCCACCGAGTAGCATGGATACGACGACGCCTCTCATCAGCTGATCCTCCTGCATCACAGAGAATAGAAAGGACATGTAAAGATAGATCCTTGTAATGCAAACATTCCAGAGTAACTCGCATGGAAAATATGTTCATGAATAAAGAAGTGTAATAACAATTACATGTAAAGATAGATCCTAGTAATGCAAACATTCCAGAGTAACTCGCATGGAAAATATGTTCATGAATAAAGAAGTGTAATAACAATTACATGTAAAGATAGATCCTTGTAATGCAAACATTCCAGAGTAACTCGCATGGAAAATATGTTCATGAATAAAGAAGTGTAATAACAATTGCATGTAAAGATAGATCCTTGTAATGCAAACATTCCAGAGTAACTCGCATGGAAAATATGTTCATGAATAAAGAAGTGTAATAACAATTGGTTGCATGGCCTTGCCGTGGCCACTTGAGCTATGGTCGTAATCTCATCAGTTCATGTTATCGGCTTGATTATCTCATGACAATCAAAACATCTCTCTCGCTCGCTTGACGAAGCAGTTGCAGTTCTTGACAGAGTTGGGTGAAGGCAGAAAGCAGTAGATGTGTTGTATTTTATGCAAATAAAACAATCATTAACATTGAAAGGACAAAAAGTTCCAATGAAACGAAAATTCATTTCTGTACGAATAAAAGTTCAAGTACATGGTGCATTTGTCACAGTGACTCTAATTGAGCGACTGAAGGAGGAAATTTAACTGAAGACAAGCTATGTCGATCACCTCTTGATAAATTTACACTCCGGTATATTTCGCTTCTGAGGACCAAATCAGGAAAATTTTTTTCATCTCTATCATGCAGCAATAACTTCTAACAAAATTATGAAGGATATTTATGAAAGATGCACTAGACTAAAAGATTAATGTAAGACTTCATCCTGTTTCCCTGTTTCATTTCTAGAAGCAATCCTAATTGAGTTACTTGGTGCTGATAGGGCTTAGAAATGAGTTTTAAGTTTACACAAAATGAACCTATATTGGAAGAAGGAATACCGCCGCGAGTAATAAGTTGTTAAGATAACAATTAGATTAGCAATCGCGAGCAATGCATCATCAACATGGAGGAGAAATAAAGGGGAATAGCTAGAATTAAGATGAATTTCCTCAAATTCATAGAGAATTTACCTTCAGTATTTGCTAGCCGTATTCAACCTAGTCTCATTTTAGCGGAACTGCATCTTCAAAGCGTAATAAGTTGTTTAAGCGTATATACGAGAAAAATAAACGAAGTTTGTGAAAAAATCATACACATGTCATTAGACAGAAAAAAATTCCTATGAAAATGAAGTCCTAGCATAATTAGCAGCGTAATATTATCAGTCCCGTACCTTGAGATATCGACGCTATCAAACCTCTGCGTGTCACCGAACCAGAAATTACCGGTGATTTTCCCTGAAGCAGATCTCAGCGGCTTAATAGCGCTGCTGCAGTTCTTCATTGCGGTGCTCACGTGTATCAGGCATGTGTTTACGTGGCATTTGAAGGAAATTCGAAATTTGTGTTCAATTCGTGTTATTTTTGTGATCAAAACTCTATATTCCCAATTTAAAATCTTCATTATTGGTAATTCGTTGATTTTTAATTTGTCACTCATTCATATTTAACATATTCAAAGGCAATGAGGTAAACTGCCATTTTCTAAAACACCCGTAACATAAGGCAGCATTTTATCAGTTATTGGGCGCTGTCGCTTACAAAACTGTATAATCGGAGTTCACTCACATAAATGAATGCGTCATATTGACCAAAAAGTGACACACTTTCTGCAGGTAGCACTGATACATCCTTTAGCCAGGAAAACTGAGTCAAGAAGGCCCACACAAGGGCAAGAAGTGCATCACTATTTGGACAAAGCCTGTCGATTTCTCTGAGTGTTCCTGATAAGGTCCTCCAGATAACGTCACCTCACAAGTAACATCAGATACTTGCATGTCAGACGCAAGGGAAGGGAAGGAGATTGACATGAAGGGAAGTAAATTCAATCTATAAAGGACGGCAAATAAGTATTTTCTTGTTTAAATCCACAAAAAAAGTTCACTTATATAAGGCAATGTAAATTGTTTTTAGAGATATTTTCGCATCGTTTATACCCCTACTCGATTTCAGAAATTAGAAATTTAAACACGAAATTCTTCATGTAATTTTTCAAGGAAGTGCGCGTAGAAGAATCAGCGCTCGTAGCGCCGACATGAATGTGCGCTTTCAGTGATATTCATGACCAAAATACTTATTTCCTCATATGAATGCTGAAACGCTGTGGGAAACCTCTCTTCAGTAACTAATTGGAAATATGAATTATTGGGAAGATGCGTGATGATGTCCAAAATCGATGCTTCAGCTACCGTTCATACAACCGTTTTGTCACGCGTTATCAATGATTGTTCAAAATTTTCAATTCCTGTCTAAATTTTATGGAATGAAAAATTTGAACGAGTACAGGAGATTTAGCTTGTAGACAGTACAAGTTTCAGTAGTTTATACTACTTCTACATCCATGTAGCACCACTTTTCAATGTTGACAGGCAAAATCAAGTCAAGAAAAGTATGAGTTTATTTAAGTGTTTCCATCTCTCACCTGATTTAGGATTAAGGAAGGCTTCAATAGACTTTATTTGCGCAGTAGCATTATATCTTCCATTTAAATTCGAGTGAAAAGAGTTGCCTTTTCTTAGAGGAAAGAAGTGATGTCGACAAAAAAGATTATTAGCCTAACAGATGCTTGATCACTAACTATCACTCAGGAGCTTTGTGTGAAGCGTACCCATATTTCTGTTGGACGACACTCAATAATAGTTGCGTGAAACTTTTGAACTCTTCACAAGATGGCAAGTACGACGATAGAGTGCGACGTTTGTAACGAGAACTTCGACTCGGGCAACCACAAGCCGCTTTGCCTGAGCTGCGGCCACACGTTTTGCTTCTCATGCATTTCAAATTTATCAAGACTCCCTGAAACCAAAAATTGCCCAAAATGTAGGAAACCATTTTCCCAACGAATTGATGAAATGATGGTCAACTACGCATTGATTCCTTCAGAAAACACGGCTCGCCCACATGCCCCGAGCTCGCTGTCAGAGGCACCGTGCCTCCATCAAGGGAAGGCGCTGGATTTCCTGTGTATGGACTGCATGGAACTCGTGTGCTTCACGTGCGCCAGGGGCACGCACGTCACGCACAAAATTGAGTTTATTGACGACCTGACGCAGGAGAATCAAGCTGTTTTGAACTCATGGACGAAAATACGGTCAACAATGCGCGACAACCTGGAGCGCGTGAATAACTTAGTCACCGTATCAGACGATATTTTGAGTTTGATGGATGAAATCCTCGACCTGAGGACTGAATTTCAGGGATGGAAGGATTCGCTGCTGGCCCAGAAACTGTCGACAGAGCAAGACCTCCAAGCTTGGGATGCCCCGGCCAGCGGTGTGATTGAGAACAAGCGACATGAATGCAAGGAAATGCTTCGACGTCTGAAATTGAAACCTCCAGAAAACATGTATACAGCAGAGATCAGAGCGAGGCTGTCTGCAGCTTTGAAGAAATATGATTCGTTACAGGTGAGACGGATGGTTATGAGTTGGAGTAGAAGTCAGCACCGATTGAAACTACAAAGCAGGTTTCGAGCAGGATCGGTCATATTCACCGCATACCGGCAGGTTAGGAGCAAAATTTTACCGCCAATTAGAACGATATAATATTAATCCATAAATGGATGATATTACTAAAAAATGAGAGGAGAAGGGTAAAGCGGGATAATCATAGCGTTTATCTGCCTTGCAAACGCTTTTTACATTATTTCACTTTTTCTACAATGCCAACCCATTCATGTTACTGAACAACCAATATTGCATAGAGAATATTTCTCTCGCCTCGCCTAAATAAATTACAATACGGAAAACTTTCCGTGTAATTTTCAGACATATGAGCTTGCAACGTATGAGGACGGTGTGCCTTGGACAGTCACAAGCCGTGCTGAAGGAGAGCGAGCAGTCGCCAGCCTGGCCAACAACATCAAGCCCAGTCGCCTCGTGGTGCTGTCCACCCACACCCGCCCCATCCCAGGGCTAGGGGAGCTGCTGTCCTGCCTCGCCGCCCATCACGCCGGCGACATCAGCCTGCTGCCCCTGGACTCCTTCTGGAGGCCGGCAGGACAGTCGGATGGATGCATGGGATACATTATCGACAAATTTAGGTACATTGGCCAAGAGTTTAACAATTCGCAAAAATAATCGCAATATGAACGAGTGAAAATATTTATAAAAAGTCAACTTCTTATAAACATTCACACTGTCATAATAGGCGATTGTTGCAAGGAGGCTGGGGTGAGGAACCTTTTCTCAGGAATATATGTGATGTATGATCATCAAATTAGTAAAATATAAATGAATAAAAAGTATATATAATTTAAAAAAAAACATAAAAAAGTGATAGGACGCAAAAGGATTGTGACCTCCAAGAACCAGTTCAAATAATCACTTGTTCCTTTTCTTTTATTGACAATATGTTCAAATTTAACAATAACCTGTTAAACTTGAAAATGTAACTTTCAAATGCATCTGCATCCAATTGTGGGGACCAATTGGTTTATAATCACTTAATGCAGTGAAAACAAAATTTAGAGCGTCTTAAAAGCTTATCGTTCATGAATGGAGTGAAATATCTCATGGCATAAGGATAAGTACAAAGTAAATGAACAATGTAGAGAAATTTTATCCGTGCTCATGCCACATGTGTATTCAAATTGATGTTTTTTCATAGACATCTTCACATTTAATTATAACGTATGCGCTAGTTATAAAATTGATAAGTTTACTAAATAGTGCAATAGTTGTTTCTTCTATATTCATGTCTTGAGTCACCGCTGACGTGATCTCGCTTTGGCTTGCATAGTAACTTTTATGGACCTTTAAAATGAACATTGAATTTTGTGTAACTCATGTTTTGTCTGCGGGTAGTCGCGTGTGAGCATTTAACAGAAGCTTTCCCATGTTGGTGGTTGGAACGCAATTAACGTTTCTAGCTCCAATGCAAGTTAAAATTTTAAAGTTCCAAGCTCATAAGTCTAGACGTGTAATGAAAATATCAAGTTCATAAAAACTCTAAAAACTTCATGAATTACTGTACTTTATTCTTCCTATTCTTTAAAAATGTGATGTTTCTTAATCATGCATTCTCTCACATTTTCTTTTGTTTACAGTGACCGCCTAGATACCATGTACGGCTCGCCTGATCAAGGCTTGACCTACTCACACAAGCGACGTTCCACCGGTATGCAAAATGGTAGATTGTATCCAAAGATCCATTTATATTTTAGCAAAATTGTTTGTGATTCACTCTAATTGCTGTAAGTTAATGTTTTATCTGTTTCATGTCACGGAATTCTTCAAGTCTTTCCTAAGAAACGGCACTTTTTCCATGAATTGTCATCATCGCTCATGTTGCCTCTTAAATTCCTGAAGCAAGTTTATTAAAACAAAACAAAAACTAGTGTTTCTACATTTCATTTTCTTCTTATATACTTCAATAAACAGAGAGTTGCTCACAAATATGAAACATAAGTTGAGTTCTAGTTCATCAAGAAAACTGTATGAGCAAGGGAAGATTAAATGAAAAGTAGCAACTGATGAGGATCACGAACACGTTGAAATAAGTGGACAAAATAAATTATTCTAAACATGAAGATTGAATACTTTTGGTAACTTATCTCGGACTTTGAGTGAAAGGTAGATTTACGCCCTATCAAAACTTGGATGCCTGTCAGCCGCTGGCTCAGGGTCGCCCCAAATTCTTTTTGCGGTGTAAATTAGAAGCTCTATGTCCGCTTTAGGTTCCGGTTGCCGGAGCGAAATAAGCGCCGAAAGAGAATCTTG